CTTCGATTTCCTTGAAAGAAAAACCTGTTGCTGCATTGATTTCAAAAAAAAAAAAAAAAACAAAAACTCAGTGGAGAACAAACGGAAGAATTTATGTCATGTGGAATCTTTCATTGCCAAAGAAACTGACACATTAAAAAATGAAAAGACAATAATGGAATACAGCTTCTAATATCTACAATTGTAAAGTAGAACTTCAAATTCTAGCAACTATGATTTAAAAAAAAAAAAAATTCCACAATTAATTACATCATGGACTCTTTTCTCTTCAGACAAATATAACAGGATGAAGCAACATAATGCTTGTGGCAAACTCCCTTTCTCTTCATTTGAAATATGATACAATAATTCTACCAATTATACCATATAAATGTCACATCCCGATGTCAAAAGTAACACATACCAGTTATCTGCAATCGTAAGAGATTAATTTTATTTATATAAAACTAAGGTTTAGGACCGAAGGATCATAAGCTTATATAATTAATGCATGTAAATTGAGCCAAGATTATACTTTTATTCTCACTTGAAGAAGCAAATTTGGCCACAAAACTGCACCTACCTAATACCCTGATTACTCCACTGAGCAAGTATATCCTTGGAAACACCACTCCCAAACACCATAGAAAATAATTGCTTCGCTTCCTTTTCTGATAATTCCTTTGACGAATCCCCTTCCCTCGCTCTTGTTTCCATGTCTTTCCCCAAAAGGTCTCCGCTTTTCTCAATTTTCGATGGTGGAGAAGCAGAAGCCGTTAGGGCTTTAGCCGCCTGCATCCGCTTCTCAGCTGCCGCCGCCATTAGCTCACGCTGCAACCGCCAGGCCTCCTCCGGCGTAGTCATTACAGTAACTCCTGAGGCAGCCACTTCCCCTGGCTTGCTCCGCTTCAGCTCTGGCTGGGCATTCTGCATGCTCATCCCCAGAGCCATTCTGAAGTCCTCTTCTTCTCGCTGACCCGCCATTAACATCACCATTGAGGTCCAAAATTCAGCAATTTAGAGTTTCTAGCTTCCCGATTCAACGATGACGGAATGAATTTACATACAGATCAACAGAACCGAAACATCTGAATGAATGAGAAAATATGTGATCTTGATTCTGATTTGGCTTTAGATTAAACAATTGTCGAAAGTAGAAACGCTAAATTTGTTACCAGGGTTTCGATTTTCAGAAACTTCCGTCGTCGGAATCCGATTTGAAGAAAAAGATGATCGCAGGGGCTAAAAGGAATCGAGGCCAGAAGGGAATTTAGAAGGGAACAAATTGAAGGTCTCATTCTAGTTCCCGTTCCGGCTGGGGAGTACAACGCTGTCGTTTTCGTTGAGGAGCTGCACTTTAGTACCGACGACAAATGAATTAAACAATGGTATTAATTTTAGGAAGGAATTCGGTTTATTAAATAAGATTTCGAATTTAAATTTTAAATTTTATGAATAAAAAATAATTACTAAAAAGATAGTTTTTCGTATGTGGTTTGATCCAACTTTGTTTTAATGAAATTTTTAGATATCGAAAAGTTAATATAAACAAAAATAATGGTATTAATTTTATTTATTTACACTTTTTTCGATAATTAAACAATTAAGTCCTTTTAGTATGATTTTTATTTTTTGATATTTTTAAATAAATTTTTACATAATTTGAAACTAATTTTTCATCTCAAAAAGTGAGATATTAAATGTCCCACAAACCAAGGCGCTCCAAATATCATTGGATTGAGATCTTCT